AAGGGATACCTAACATCCATCTGCAGAGACAGTCGACTAAAGCTGCAACGCGTTAGTGCAACAGACCGTTTCGTAGAGACGGTTGTCTTAATTCGAGATCCGCTAATGCTAGATTACGATGCGTATATAATATCGTACGAGTGCGTGCATACGTGTGTCTGTGTGTGCGCCAGTTTTCCTCTACTTCTTATATTAATCGGCTACGAAAAGAATGAGAGAGAGAACGTAGGAGTGCGATCGCGAGGTCTCGCATCATCTATTTTGCGCGAATCGTCTTGTGTACGTCGGTTTGACACAACCCCTTCCGTAACTGTTAGCGTAGTGTTTAATTTCACGCGATAACACTTTAAGTGGACCCCAATAGACGAACGTGTATCTGCGCGCCGAGAATTCTCCTCGCGAGAACGTGGACGCACTAAATTCTTTACAGTACGCAATTATACGTAAATCAAAGAATAACGAAGAGTGTGCGGTTAATTATAGTAATTTGCGCGCTTGTTCAAGAGTGCGAGATTGAGATCTCGATTTTAAGTGACTTATCCCTGCAAATCAACTTATCGGCTGATCGGTGGAAGAGTTATCGAACGAACAGTTTGCGTTAATTTGACATCGGAAGCTTTCTCCGCGCGCAGGCACAGACTTTTTTTGTTTTAATGTCGCTTAAGTATAAATATATCGAGTGTAAAAAGATAATGTACACGTATCTTTTTGTTTTGTAAAAGACGCATTTTTGTAATGTCGCTTCCTGACGTGTTGCGAGATTGTAACAGTCGAGTAACATTTTTTCCCGATTCGCTAATAGTTTTCTCTTTTTTTTTTTCTTTTTATTCCTTGGAAGAAGTAACATTGAGGTTGCTAATTGGTGCGCGAGTGCTGGAAAAATCTTATCGCTAATTAAATTATTAAATACCGACATCAACGTTTATCGTTCCTTCTTCTATAATTGCGACCTACTTCAGTTGCGGATTTCCCCGCCGTGCGCATTTCTCGGCCCTTCTCCCCTAAATCGAATTTTATTAGACGTGTTATCTCTACGAGGTATCCCTGCCGGGATTATCGGAGATAAAGTAACGAGAGAATATGAGATCAATCGCAGAGGATACTTAGGATATTTCTTTCGTACTGATTTCCCCTTCGTTGAGTCTTGTGAGATTTTCGAATGAAATAAATACGATCTATACAGGGTGGTCCTTTATTGATGGCATAATTCAAAAGGGATTCTGTCTAAAAAAAATTGAGAGGGAAAAAAATTGGACGATAAATAATACATTTTTCCTCGAAACTTGAGTAACTTTCGATGATATTATTCATAGGTCGATTTACTTTAACTGTAGCTATCAGAATTCAAGTAAAAATGCGTGTAATATCGCTAGAATTGCGTTCTCTTGAAAACAGAAAGTTCGTTTCTAGTTCCGAAAGAAATGTTCTTCGCAATAAAACACATTTTCGATTTAGCACCCTCTCGGCATCACCAATAACGGATCCTGTATAAATCGGTAACACTGAAGGTCTCCCCTATGAAACTCGCCTAGCAAATCTTGCGATAAGAGAATGTCATTAAATATATCGAATCCTCGGTACAGGTAGAAAAGTGCACTTTCCTCGGCATATACGTCCGCAACATAAACAGCTGTGTAACATGCCGATGTGTGTACGCAAGTGGGCCCTCGCCAAAATCTGACCACTAGCGCTTTCTTCGTTACAAAGGAACGTCGAAATCTCAAACTTCAAGTGTCTGTCTTTTCTGTGTCTCGGCAAATGAAACTTTCTTTTCTTTTTTTTCCTTTTTTTTTTATACGAGAAGTATATGCCGCGGTTCCCTTTAGACGCGATAGAAAACCATTCTGTACTGTCTATATCTATATATATATATATATTTATATATTGGCATATGTACAGGATATACACAGGGTGTCCCAGACATTGCGCTTTCTCTCGACAACCGAGAATTAGGAGGTGTGACGGTTCGTTTGCGCCATCAATAATTTATCAGTCACTCGAGAATAGGTCACTTACTTCGATCCGGGTCCAAATCGGGTCCTCGACACTACGATTCCCCGTCGCCCGGCCGCCAATTCGTCTCTGCTCGCGGTACTCGCGCGTAGGAAGAAAAAAGCGCTGCGTTCCAGGAAACTCCGTATATATTTAGACGTTAAGACGAAAGAACGACGATGTCCTTTCTCCTTTCCGCGAAATACCGCCTCGGTTTCATACCTACTCGTCTTTCGATTCGCGCGAATTGAGACGTTCACTTGTGGTTTTTTTTTGTTTTTTTTTTTCTCTAGCCTTTAGAACATCGAACAAAAAGCCGCATCCTCCTTCTCTCGTTCGTGTATTTCTTTTTCTTTTAGGCCTCTTCGGAGTGCGAGCCCTGAGAACTGCGTTTCTTCTTGTGATTGTTGTGATGAGAATGATGTTGATGATGATGATGGTGCTCCCGATGCTGCTGCATGAGAGCGTCGGTCTCCGGCTGATTCTGGTGGCCGACCAGAAGGTCCAGCGTGCCCTTCGGCACGGCGGGCGTCTGCTCGTTCGCCGCTGGCGGAACAGGTGTTGCCATCGGCGACTCGACCGGCAGCGGCATGCAGTGCAACACGTAGCATCTTATAGCCGCTAGAATGAAGCCTGAAACAGACAATTGTAATTGTAGTCATCGTTTCATCATATCGACATCTCACTCAGATAAATGAGATGAGCACGCATGCCCGTCTGCATCTACTTGCTCATCAATGCGCTGATCGATCGAGCGCAGGTCGAGAAACAGACGGGCAATAAAATTGTGTTTTTTTTACTGCTTTTTTCTTAAATTAAAATATCGATGCGAAAATTTTAGTGCGAAAAAGTATATAAAGATAAGATTGAAAAATTACGGTAACCTTTTCTCGATATTTTTGCAAAATAAATTTACTCATCTCAAAATCGGTCGAAGAATCTACAGTTCAAAGGAAGCACAATTAGTGAAAAACACTTTTTGAAATATCTACCATGCAGATCTAAAAATATATAATGTTAAAGATTAAAAAATTGTGATAAGTCGCGACATTTTCGCTAAAAAATTTACTCAACTCAAAATCTGTCAAAGAATTTGCAATTCAAACGAACTATCATTAATGAAAGATATTTCTTGAAATATCTATAATGCTGTTCTAAAAATATATAATGTTAAAGGTTGAAAAATTGCGATAAATCGCGACTTTTCTCGACATTTTTACAAAAGAAATTTATTCAATTCAAAATCAGACGAAGAATTTGCAATTCAAACGAAGCGCAATTAATGAAAGACATTTCTTGAAATATTTCTAACACGATTCTAAAAAATATAACGCTAAAGATTGAAGAATTGCGATAAATCACATTGTCTCGACATTTCGCGAGAGAAATTTGCTCGACTCAAAATCAGCGACCGAAAGGAAGTGCAATTGATGAAAGACACTGCTTCTAAAATATTTATATATTTTTAGACACCCGCATTTCTTACATTTGGACAACTAGTTGCAGAGATACACAAATGATGACATAAAAAGATCGCGTTTAACAATTCGTGCGCTTTGTTTCTCCTTTCTTATGCCAATCGCTTTATGAGATACAAAGACCACGAATTAATGTGGTATGTAAAGAAGCTTTTCTATATTTGAGAAAGCTCACCCAGTATAAGTAGGGCAGCCCCTGCCAATAGTAACGCCAACCTGTGGTTGGTGGTCGTTGCACCCGGGGCAAGCTGGACGAGACCTACCACGAGCACCACCGCGCCCAACAACAGGCACACCACCACGGCGTGTAGCCCGGATATCTGCGGGCAACGATCTTCGTCAGACAAACGAATACTCGCGAAGAACTCTTCTCGCTCGTGTTCAAAAGTTTTCTCAAAGGAAACGCAGATAGATCGCTCGGAAAATTGGCCGCGATTACGTAAAAAAAAGAAAATCAATTATTCCATTTGGAAATTTCTCGATCTTTTTATCCCGCGAAATGTATCTCGGAGTAAAATGTCAAATCAAACGCCGTCAAAGCGCATCGCCGGCTATTTTTAGCACATTTCCGGAGCATAGAATCTCGTCTGTAATTTTTCCCGCGAAGAGATTATAGAAACTTAACTTTCGGAATCGATAGTACGTCGCGCAACTATGCCCGTTTCCTTCTCCGGTTCGCAACAGTTTTTGTATCTATAGATGCGAGTTGAGAAACTTTAAGTGTCGGGTATAGTTATCGGGGCATTGCGATAGCTATTACCTTGCCGCACAAGTAGAGCTCGGGCAAGGGCTCGAGATTGTTGTGCCCGTGTGGACTGGGGGTGGGCGGCGAGGGCGGTAGCCATTGCCCTGCTGTCAAATACAGCTGACTTGGCCGCTTCAGCCTTTTCTCCTGTCTCCTACGCTCGTGGCGGACAGCCACCGCTGGCATAGCACCAATCATCCTGATCAAACAAAGAGCAGACAGGTTTGAAGTGCGCGTCGCTCGCTCAGGAAAATATCGTGCCAATTACGCTACCGGATTTAGTAAACACGCCGGGATCAGCTCAAGCCGGCGAAGTGTGCGGCCTGTGTATATTAATCGCACGTTGTTTTATTTACAAATCAAGTAATATCGACGCTTCAATTTATACGCTATGCACACAGGACGCGAAATATACACTCCGCAAACAATTTGCTGTCCTAATTCAATCCTGAAGTATCTTCAGCGAGGTTTGAAAATATTGCAAAAATTGAGTTTTTTTCTGAACAAAAGCGCGCGCGCGTTTTAAAATAATGTTCTTAAATTAAATATTAAAAATAATATTGCATTATTTTTATAATCACACTCTGCTCATTATCGATATTGATTAATTTCATCGCATTGCCGAGAGAGAACTCTCGTTTGTATAAATTATTGAAACGCCTCGCTATTTTGAGATATCTCGAGCGTTAAATCGGAGCAGCGGAAATCGTCCCCTCTCGCGCGCGGCAGGGAGAATCGATATTTTTCGACAATGCGAAATAACATACGTTTGATTGATCTCTAGATTGAACGGTTTTTCGCGCGATGTCTTGTCGCGCGGACTGACACCGGCAGTTTTGCGCCGCTATGAACTTTGGTGACCTCGGTTGACCTCAGTCGGTCGATACGTCATTGCATCCGCCCTCCGGCCCGGAGTCGATGCAGCGAAGTTCCAGATGGCCGAGGGTGCAAAAAGAAAAACGGCACACCGGGCGAAGTTTCAATGACCTTATATCTCGCTCGTTAAAATCTACATCTCCCGTCAATAGCGCACTCACCTAACGGTCCGTTATCCGTCGCCCGGCGGGAACTAATCGGCGCGGCCGATATCAATTTTTTTTTCCTTTCTCCCCGCGCGATTTGGGACATTGATATGCATGAAATAAATGCAACCTCAAATTCAAATGCGACCGACGGTCCGGCACAGATAAAGCTTCATAATAAAAAAGGCAGGGGGAGGGGGATGAAACGGGGGGATGTATATATGGGTCGCGGCAGAATGGGGGCGGGAATGCTTGAAATGTAGAAGAACAATCATTCGTTAAGAATGGAGCGTTTCATAAATATTTATTCTCGAAAAGTCGTGCACCAAATTGTATATAAGTGGTACAATAGAGAAATCGCATAAGAAAGCTTGTTAACTTCGTTAAAATAACTACGATAAATAGAGTCGCAATAGCAGCGATGTAATAACTGCGCGTTTTAATCGTGATAATTATAGTAACGATTCTTTTTATTGTTTTTTGTTTTTTTTTTTTATTTACTGTTTCATCATGCGACAGTTTTTATAATCTAGCTTCCTGCGAATACGTTTCCGCCGGGGCGAACAGAGGGATAAGAGAGTAACATCGATTCGGTAACCGAATACGGTGAAATGTGATGGCCGAGATACCGTATCCGTCCCTCTTATCTGTCCTCTATAATTTCGCGCCCCCCCACGCAAACGTATTCATGTACGTTGTGTATCCGTGAATTTCGCGATAAATATAGTGATATCCTTAAATTGTTCCGATAGTTACATAATCATGGGTGTCGTTTCGCCCCCGACACGCGCATCAATCAAATCGCACGTCCACAATCTCAGTCCAACGTTTAACGTCCAAACACGAGTGAAGCGGAATTACATCTCTTTTACTCTTAATTATATTTAAAATCTTCGGCAGGAATTTAGACGAGATGTGTAGCAGTATAAGAGAAATCCATCTGACAGTCCGTAATGTATCCTGTAAAGTGAGCACTTTAGTTTCGTTTATGCCATTTTTAATAATACTTTCATCGCCCGCGGAACCCTCCCGCGTTCCCAATTATCCTTAATACTCTCACGAAATAAGGAATGTTAAACACACACGTGTGCACGAGAGATGGATACTCTCGCCGTTGAAATTCCGAAAGAATTCTCGAATAATAACGCGCGACACGCGCGGATCGTGTCGATCTCATCGCGTGCGGAATGGCGCGCATGCGAGAAAAACGCGTGTCTATTCACACGCCGCGCCGCTACGTAAGCTAAAATGTAAACCTAGCAGTCTAATAATTTTCCCAACGAACGATTTTCCCAAAGATATAGTGCGTAGCGCGAAACGAATGTAATAATAAATAACTCTATAGGCAGACTTATTTTCCTCCGAAAAACGCGATGTCCCACGCATCGGAATCGATATACAGCTCGTGCTATTTATTTAGATCTGAAAAGTTTTGCAATCGATAGGCGTGCGTTTACACACGCGCGGCACTCTATGTAGAATATAATTGTACCACTTATTCAAGGACGTTTAAGTATCTGGAGCAGAATCTTCTTCGCGTAGAGATATAACGTCCCGTGAAAAGGAATTGTGCTTCGTAAATCTATATCATAGTAAACAACAAAATTACAATCGAGATAATACATGGAGTAGTTTCTAGCTTTAAGAAGATGTACACTCTTAGATATTTTTTTATGCGACAGACTTACATGCTATATATATATATATAAGTAAGATTAGTTCGCGATTTCAGCCTTTCAGTCGAAAAAACAAACGAAATTGAAAAGTATATTTTTTTCTTTCGTGAAAAAAGGATATTTTAAAACCTAATAAAAAAAGTTCAAAAAATAACTAATCGATCCTCGGTTAGCTTATTTGTACATGTGCACTATTGGGTTGTGTAATAAGAAGCTTCGGATTTTCTTACAAATGGTGTTATTATTTTCCTCGCGCAGCGTGTTTAAAAAATCCACAGGCAAAATTTGATTGCAGCTTCGACAAACGGATACTCCACTTCGGTTAATCAAACTGTGCTTTGCCTGATAAAAAAATAGACAGATTTATTTGAAAAATTCGAATTGTACCTATTACACAACGCTAGGTTCACAATTTGCGTATCGAAAGTGGAAAAAATCAAACGTGCGCAAAATTGAAACAATCCTACATTTTCGTTTTCGCGTTTAGCGAAGAGAAAACTCATCGAAAATATTAAATGCACAACAAAAGGCACTGTTGCACGACGTTTAATTCAGAGCCGGTTCGAGACGTTCTGGAAATCTCCCTCCGAGAGATTTCGGATCGTATCTATCTATCTGAAAGCGATTCCGGGACAATTTTTTAAGCGGAAATTTTGCACGATTAGAGTTTCGAAAATTGCGCCCGCCGACGTGGCTCGCGTTTCCCGCTCGAAAATCCCCGATCGGCTCCGATTTAATCGCAATGAATTTCGCCCTTTCTACTCGCACCCACACCTTCGTATATCTCGCCTTCTCTATCCCTCTCGCCCCACACAATCTTCTCTCACTCACGCATCCTCACTTTCTTAAATATGCAAAAGGCATAAAAAATTGTAATCACGTGTAATTAAATATAGTAGGGACACTCTTTGCGTTCAATTAAGGGATAGATAGCGCCCCGCGGAGTGGTGATAAAAACAGCATGTATATAGTGTATAATATATACAGAGTATACGATATATTTTGAAAGAACATTCTCAATGCGATTCATTTGACGTGTAAGATTAACTTCTTCTTCTTTTTTTTTTCTTAGGATCACAGAATAGTAGCGCCCGAGCATAGCAATATTCCACGTTTGGAAGATATTCGAAAACAAACGGCGACATATATATCCCCGGCGTCTCCGTTCGCCTTCCCCCCACCCTCCCCCCTCCCAAAAATTATCACCCCTCCCCCGCGCTAATTTCAGTGGAATGACGGGAGTTTCTCGCGACGTCGTTCATTCTCAAAGATCTCCGCCGACTAAAGTTAGTGTATGTAAATAAATGCTTAATATATTATAAAAAGGAATATAGCATATTACAAATTATCGACTAGCTTAACGATAACTGTCGCGCCAACAGTCGCTGGACGAATAGTTGCAATTCTTGGCGTACATTCTGGAATTCGTCGTATATATATATATATAGATGGATTCGTTCAATATATATATATATGTGTGCGCATATGTATTGAACGAATCTTCCTCCGAGAGTGCGTGTTAAAATATTAGCGCTATAGAATATGTCGAAATCAAGTCTCGGAGTGTCATCATATAGTCGGAAACATTCCGCTACCTTCAGTCCTTGCGCAGAAACGAACCGTTCTCTCGTTGCCGACGCGGCTATATGTATGATGAGATCAGAGATAACGATCGTAAGTAATAATTATCGCAACTTTTTAACGAGATCAGCCGCTTCGAACGTAATATCGCAGCGCGCTCGATATAACTACATAATTGTTTAAGGAGAAAAAAAAATTAATACCGCGTTTTACTGGAATCTCATCTAACTTAGATTGATAGAGACGCCTCGTTTGCGAATTCATTTTCGAAATAATTGGCAAATGAGGATCGAACGTACGAAGGATAGAAAGTGTATAAAGGATTATATATCGTAATACATGCGCCCTCACTTATACGCCTAATAGATTTTTAGGTATAAACGGATTATTCTCAGTAAGTTATTTATCGATTACTTCCCTATTAGATGCATCTTAACAGCAATCGTTTCGCAAAATCGTGCCTCCTCTTACGATATGATCTCCTTGGATAGTGCTCTTGGTCCTTGAATTCGATTCTCTTGTTTTCCTACTTCGTGCTTCGTCTAAGTGTTGTGTGCATGCGCATGTGTCTGTGTGTGTGTGTGTTGTGTACCGTGTATATGATTATTAAGATTCTTCCTTCTCGTAAATTTCGCCACGCGATCGATCGAAAGTCTCTTTCGCCCGCAGTGTCGCCGGCGTGCTTTGGTTTTTCGCGACACCACCGCTATTTACCGCGTGGAAATCCGCGTGTTCCCGATATTAAATTATTTTCACAGTCTCCGCGTTGTGCTGCGCAATTTCGTCGCGAGGTGCACGCCTCGACGGACGAGATATATCCGCGCGAAAAAAACATCGCGGCGCGCGTTCCCTTCTTGTACATTTCGCGCAAACGAATTCGTATTAAGCGCCCACGATCTCGCGAAATTTCACCACGAGGAATAACCCCGCCGCTCGGAACAATCGTGGATAAAAAGACTTTTGTTTAATATGTACGATAAGGTGCGCCCGTGCGCGGAATTGGAGCGCGAGAATACGACGGAGAGAGCGTGTCGTTTCGTCGTTATCTCCGTTATCTGATTATCGCGTACGCGTTCGCCTTGGCAGAATCATCGTGGGACGTCGCTGGAGTCCTCCCCGCCCCCCCCTCCGCTTAATCCGACGGGATCTACATCTTGGACACGTAGAGCGGCCGGTGGACCTGCTGCGGATTCCCGTTCTGCTTCGAGTACCGCGCGTTCTGCAGCAGCTCCCTGGTCTCGCTGGGCGAGCCCGGGCTCAGGCTGTTGGTCGTCGAGGTCTCGACGCGGTCGCTGATGATCTCCTCCTCGGTGATCTGCTCCAGGTAGAGCTGCGCCGTCGCCTGATTGTCGCCGTTGATCGTCGGCTGCGGCGAGTAAGCCGGCGGCGGGCTCCTGGACTCCGGCGACTCGCTGCTGGTCGCGCTCTTCTCCTTGATCTCGATGTCCGACGACGCCTGCTTCATCTGCTGCTTCGCGCGTCTGGCGTGGCGCGTGGTCAGCCCGCCCGTCTCCACGTCCCTCTCGAGACGGTGGCCCGGAGCGGGGAGCGGGGTCAGGCTGACGCTGCACGTACTCCTCGAGATCGTCCTCCTCCTTCTTCGCGATCACGCGGTCAGGACGATGAGGAGACGCCGACGATGATCGCGACAGGCCGACCGCCACGAGCTCGTCCACCAGCCGCCGGACGCCTGGTCGCCCAGTGGGCGAGATCGCCCGGCAGCAGGCCGCTCATCAGCAGGAACGCGCCCAGGACGAGGAACACGACGCCGATGTGCAGCATCCCCGATCGAGGTGACCCACCTTGGTGTCCCAGCATGGCCCTGGCCGGCGCTGTGGCGCCCGGCGCCGTGCGCGCCCTTGCCGTGATGCCTGCCGTGTTGGTCCAGCGATCCGGTCGAGGCCCTAGGCGACGTCAGGCCGCTCTCGCCCGATTGCGCGCTATAACGACGCTCGCGCGCGCGACGCTGCTCGTCCCGACGCTTGCGCTGACGCTTGATGGCCAGCGCCGAGTGCAATCCAACCGCGTGCATCCTGCAACACCGGAAAGACAACCCTTGGCTCAATCAATCTTACTAATCAATTCCCGCTAATCGATCTATCGAACTCTATACGCTTTCTCTCTTTCTCTCTCTCTCTCTTTCTCTCTTCTCCTCTCTTTCTCTCTTCTCCTCTCTTTCTCTCTCTCTTTTTCTCTCTCTCTTTCTTTTCTCTTTTTATTGCAATCTCATTTTTTTTTTGTTCTTTATTGAAATAATCCACACTCGTTCCGACCGGCGCCGCGTGTAATCTCGTAATGCCGCGATTAAGCAGAGAGGAAAAAGAGTTCATCGTGAAACTACGTTATTGTCGTGAAATGTCAATAAAGCGATCTACGTGCCTGCTCGCGGGCGAGCAATGTGGCAAGCGTATATAGAAATTAATCGACTACGGCAACGAAGCGAAGGAGAAATTTGCTGGGTTAAGCTTCGCTTCTACATTCTCATTTCCCGACTGCTCAATAGTCTATTGCTCCGGCAAACTCGCTCGGAGATATATATATATATGTATCTCGGCATCGACTAATTAACTACCTCTATTTGTCTAAGGCCTACAGGATCTATTTACAGGGTTTACAGGATGCACTGCGATGGAATCGCGCGTATTAAAGCGACTGACGGTGACGCATTTTTCCCTCGGTCTTTTCTTCTCACGACCTTACGTGTCGTATCGTTGTTTAGGCCACTTCTTCTCGTTCGATTGGAAAAACGTACAATCGCTGTACGCCATCGCAAATCGATATATTTATATATATATATATATATATATATATATATAATTTTTGCTATATCTCTTACAGTTATTTATATTACAACTACGCTCCTTTTTCTCGATTTCTTGTCTCTTTCAGAAAATTGATGTAAAAATGAGCTAGCTTATTTTAATAAAATAGGGAACGATAATTTTATCGTCATATCGGAGATATAGGCGTGTACATAATGCAAACGATAAAATGGAACGGACGACTTAATGGAAGAAGCAATTTCATAGCAAAGTTACCTTTCCTAATGACAAGGAATGATGATTCGCTATCAGAGATAATCGCGTAATTCATGAAGCGACGCAGTCCGTTATGATGCGTCAAAGAGGCAGCTTCGTCAAAGCCCAGCTCTCGCTGACGCAAGCATTTCGATTGGACTTAGTCACTTCATGTCTCCGAACTTCGTAGACGAGAGATCGTAAGAATACCAAACGTGTTTCTTCTGTCGGAGGAAAGTCAAATGTTTGAGAGACGAGTGGCGAGAAAGAGTCGATCGAAGGAATGCGGTCAATAAAAAAATGTTTACGCGCGCGAGGCGTCGTATCGAAAAATACCGGAGCGATTCGGAAGCGTCGCGCGATACATCTCGCCCTGAGAGGGCCGTTACATTTTATTCGTGCGACGTAAGGCCACTCCCGTCGCGCGAAGAAGCGTATGTGGGAGTGAATGGCATCACGAAATACGTTTACGTTCCCTTATTTATGCGCGATGAGACACGCGCGCGGACATTCGTCCTCCGAAGAGCGGCCGCGAATTAATTAAATGCCGAAGCGCAACGCGCGTCGCGCCCGACTTTTACATCCGACTTGCAAGACCGCGCGATTTAAAGCGTAAAAAGAATCGTCGGCGGCTCTCGCATCGAATGCCAAGAGCGGCCCACCTCCTCTACTTTGCATCGCTTTGCGAGAAAGTCGCTCGCCGTGGCATCATGAATATGTGCGTACATAGGTCTAAAGGGAAATATATAACTTTGATCTCTCCGCGGAACGCCGCGCTCCGCGCGGAGCCCGCTCGACGCGCTTGTAATTTAAGCGCGGCCTGTCATCAACGCGGCCGAGATTGATATCGTCCGCAAAGCGGGATCGCTTTGGGGCGATCGTGGGACGATCCGAGGGCGAGATCTTAAAGGCGACTCCACGAGATGCCCCTTCATTTCACGATCACAATGCGCGGCGCCGCGAAAGCGTTTCCTGCTCCACGATCAATAAAACCATCCCCCATCTCCCTTACAGAACGCAAACGCAAAGTACACGAGGACAGACAGCGGCGGTGTGCACTACGTGCGCTGTGTGAGCTACGCATGTGTGCTACGCCTCGCGTTCTCGCTGCAAAAGGAGCGAGAATTAACGAAGGCGAGCTAATCTTTTTTCGCGATCTTACAGCTATGTCCAGCGCAACTTTAAACCGACCGGTTCAAACTCGTCGACAGAGTTGTTGGTGGAAAAAAAAAGTTCAAAATGCTTCCGTCTCCGATGTGTAACGTAATATTTCATTCATGTCGGCAATTTTTGCGGGAAATTTTAACTGTCGGTCAATGCCGAAAGTAAAAATCGTCGGCTTGCTCTCTCGCAAGAGCAAAATAACGGAAACCACTTGCAACATAAAGAAAAAGAAGAGTACAGAAATATTTGTTATCGCAGATTCTACAGAGCAGTGACTAAACGTGGAATCATAGAGTAGCATATGTAATGCGTCTAAATTGAGAGAAAAATAAACCGACGGATTTGTAGGCTAAATAATTATATTGAATGAGATAAAAATAAATGAAGCGTCCGATTCGGAGGCTGTTTAAGATTGAGCTTTAAGATAAATTATGTAATCCGATCCCGCGGAGAGATCCGAGCGCAACGGATTATATTAATGGAAGGCACTTTTCCACTTAATCCCCGAAGACCTTAGGCCGCTCCGCCAATAGTTAAGCCGTGGAAACAGCCTTCGTGACTCCCCGACGAGTGCTTTAATTACCCACTTCGCATTGTGCTCGTCGACTCTTAATACAGTCTCGGCGGCGGGATCGACTTCAAGTTTTAATTGCGTCTCTCCGCGCCGCGTTTTCCATAATCTTCTCGATCGCCGCGCGTTCGCCGTTTTATCGGCTCATCCGCGTTACGTGACACGCGGATTCTCGCGGAATTATATTATCGCCATTTGCGTTCCGTTATTTTCGGTCCTTGGCGCGCCGCCAAACTAAACGCGATGCTTTCATTAAAAGCCGCGCAACGTCGATCGGATCCGCGGCACCCGTCGCTCCCCCGCGTGTGCTGTTTGACGCGCGCTGAAATTCGCTGCGGAAACTTCGTGTGCATCGACCGGCGGCAATTCCGCGAGCTCCGCTTCGTTCTCCGTTTCGCACAAGTCGTAAAAAATCTAATTTGCAAACGTGATTCACGCGGTGCGACCTTACCCGAAATCGATTGCGTTTTCCGCGGATGAGTGGCTGTTGCACCGGATGTGACGCAAGCTCGTGGGAGATATCTGCGCCTTTAGGGTCCTCCCTCAATCATAAATATAGCCGTGGCGAGTCACGGTTTCGCACGAACGCCTTTACAGCAGTAAGCCTATTTCGCAGTCATCGACCGCTTTCCTGTGTTTACGTTTTGTACAAAGAAAACGCTGCAGCGCGCGCGCCGACGCTCAGTGGAAAATCGACTGAGCTTTCAACCCGGATTTGGATTATTTTTCTAAGAAACGGACTGTTCGTCGGTGGATCGCGTCTTATAGAAAGCTCCCCGGGATGAAAAAGAACGCCCCCGGAAACGTTCGCTTCAGCGATACGAAAATAAACGCGCTCTCGCGATTCGTTCGTACTTAAGCGGCTTAATGCTCGGAAATGCTCGGAAATTTTCCAAAGGGCGAAGCCGGGGACGAAGTTTACAGCCGCGGTATGTAAAGTCGGTCATTGGATTGTTTCCGTTCTGCCATGTCGCAGACAGGTACCTGTTGCCAGAACCCGTCGCCTGTGGCCGTGTGTTCGATCAATGATAAAGTATACTACTGGCGCGGCGCTAAATGACGACGGATGGGGGACAATTTGCGGACAATTTCCGTCACGGATGGCGACGCGGATGGGAAAAATCGCTCGGGCGGCCACAATGTACCTACGCGTCGGACGCACATTTCTATTAATACCCCGCAATGCGGAGGAGAAAAGGCAGCAAAAAAAACCGGGCGAGAAGGGTGACAATATGGTAAAAGAAATTGCGTATCATCTAAGCGAGGCGCTTCGCTGGCTTTTGCGCTATTAAGATACGCGCGGGGCGAACTCGCGTGCAGCCCTCTTGATTGCTGCATCTCTTTCTCTCTCTCTCTCTCCCTCCCTCTCTCTCTCTCTCGGAATAGAATTCGCTATAGACGCGATAATGCCAGCAGCCCCCGCTCGGTCTCGGCCGCGCGTTTTGTATATTTTGGAACAAGGACCGACACAAACGACGACGCGCGACGCTCGCGCGACTCGTGTAGCTATAAGCAAAATCGGTGTCTATAGATTGAGCGTATGGACGCGCACACGCTATATTTAATCTTGATTAGAGCGCGCGTTCGACACGCGAGATGCATTTTCTCGCGTGCCGAACGCACGATACGCAAAATACCGTGCCTGAGAGCACATTGGAGGAAGTGAACTCCGGTTCTTCCGATTTCTCGCGTCGCCGTCTCCCGTCGAACGTCGTTCGAATTTTCGCGGAGACGCGGAAAGCGGGTCGATAATCAAAATGCACGATCTTCTTCGCAAGCCGAGGACGCGAGCGAGAACGCGGGACGAGCTCCCGAATCGCGCTTCCGATATACGGTGGTTCGAACGACGGCGTTACCTGACTTTCGGTCTTCGCTCTTCCGCGAGGAAAACAGGCGAGCTTCCGCGAGTCCCCGATGACGCCTCACGCCATGAAACTTGCCCTTCGGCCTGATCGGTCCACCGGTGGCGAAGCGCCTCGCGTCCCCTTCGAAGTGGAAAATCGCCGCCGCCGCCGCCGTTTCTCCCCTTTTCGCTCTGTCTCCTTCGTTTTTCCTCCTTCGACGCTTTTCTCTTCCCTCCTCGCGAGAAGACTTTTCAAAATCGTTACATTTTCCACTGGGATTTTGCTGTTTCGCGTTCCGGCGGCGTGCGATGTCCGTCCGCGAGAGCCGCTTTGTTTTTACGCTTTCCCTGCTGCGGGGTGAACTCGCGCGCGCACGTACCGCCGCGTAAGACCGCTGGACGAGTAAAGCTGCCTGTATGTTACTAAATAGGAGCGTGTAAGCCAGGACACACCTCTGCAAAGTACGGCGCAGACTCAGATTCCGGCACTTCGTATGCCAAACGGAAGCTCCCGCCGCGCAACGGAGCTTTTACTCCGCCGAGAACTCGATACGCGCAGGTCATGCTGATGCGAGCCTGAAACATCAGCCGAAGTATGTCATCGCAGGAAAAATTAACGCGGACTTAGCTCTCGAACTTAGAATCGAGCCCACGCGAAGAAGACCGAATTATCGCGCGATTCCTTTTTCATTGCGCGAAAAATAAATTTTATTATTATTGAACGCATAATACGCGCACGAACGATAACAGAGTTAATTAATTTTGAAATGTCAAAGGTAGAATGACCGACGATGGATGCTTCGATCTCATGATGTAATTCAGAACGCGATACGGAATAATAAGATGCTAAAAGGGGGATGGGTTTTCAATTATACAGTATTTTTATAGAATTTAACTTAAAGCATACTTTATTACGGAAGATTCTTCTTTACACGATAAATTTTCCGACGATAAAATCGATTTGTTACATTTGGCATATTTCATTCTCGGATATACAACGGAATTCTTGTCTGAATCCTTTGTTTAATAAATATAAAACAGGAAGCTGTGTGTTGGATATACACGTATCACAGATAAATATTACGTCAGTCGAGAAATAACAATAATATAAAATAAATTCGTCGGAAAATCAGGCACTAGTCCGCTTCTTGAAGGCAGAAACCGCTAACGCTCCAAGTAATATAATTCGGTACGAGAGCTGCGCGCAACTCCGCACGCTTTGAAGGATTGAAATTGGTGTGTCGCTTAATCAACGTCGTAAGGCACTCTGTCTCGTCATCGCCACGGCTTCCGAACGGCTCCGGTGCTGGTACTTCTTCTAATACCTTGATCTGTAATTTAAGAAACATTCGAGTGTACTTCTTGAAAAATCAAGCGCAACGAAAATATATGCGAATGACTCACGCAATGCGCTCGGTGACATAAGTTTGTCTCTCATATCCGAGGTCCACGTTTGACATCTGGATCTGACGATGCCCCTCTTAACGGCCAACGGTCGCTGATACTTTGTCATTCTGGACAACAGCAAAAACATGTATATTGATGCTAGTTGCAAAACATAGAAAAGCTCTATATGTGATAGCGGAAGAGAAACCGTGTCATTACGTGGATTCGAATTCTCTCAGATTTTTCCTGGCTAAAGTCTTTTGAGTGGCGAACGAATACGATCGAGCCGACGTCGGCCGTTCCGCTCGAGACTGCTGGAGTTCGCGATCCTGCATGATCGCTTGCATTCTCTTTGACGGCGACTGGGCAAACAATTCCACTATATTCATAGACGCTGCGTCACACTTGAAATATCGTACAATTATTAATCCTGTAAAATGTGTGTAATGCGAGATAATCAGACCTGAGCAAAGAAAGTGGTGATTACTTGTAACTGGAGACGATGAAGGAAGTCCACTTCCGCCAAGTTTAAAGGCGCATCAACGTGCAACTTGAGCATACACTGCAACGCCTCTTTGTACACCCTTTTCAATGTGATTACACGTTCGGTCCGCATTAATCTGCGCACTAAATAACCTCGCGTGTAAGCATTGATGATATTTACCGCCCGTATCTGCAACACAATTTGCAATAACGATAGGGTATCCGATGCAAATGTGTATCAAGAATTATAGCATAAAGATGATCATACGTGTTTGTCGTGATATGCTGAAGTGTCCAATACCGGCACGTGTGTGGTGTTACTTTCCAGGGGAAATAATTGCCGACTGACAGATGAACTCTTGTATACAGTACGATCGTGCGATTTGTAATTGCTATTGTGATCATTATCGTTATCGTTATTATTGTTATTAGTATATGTAATGTTGCATAAATCTATCTTTCTCGCAAAGTCCAGGTCGAGAGCGGTGGGAGAGGTGTTCATGATGAAAGGAGGGGATTTGTGTTTCAGCATATACAAATTTTTGGAAGAAATGTAATCCAGGGGGCATACGATAACGTTCGCCGACGGTAATTTACAATGCGCTCCCGCGCGATAATTGCCCGGGGAGTTGATGTTTCTTTGTTGTTTCATTTCGCTAACGTTGTCTCCCAGTTTCACCTCCTTGCTTGGCAACGACTGCTTTGGCTGACTCGATACGACTGGATGCGACACTCCGGAAACTGAATACTTTCGTATTTCGGCTAATAAAAGCATTTGTTGTTTCTGAAATTCCGCTTGTAGTAGCGATTGTTCTCTTCGCTGACGATTTATCAGCTCCATCATTTGCTTTCTGTGCATTTCTTCGATTTCTTTGTAGACTATTAAGAGCTTCTCAGGTGTAATAGACGGCTTCGTTTTGACACTTGTATCTTTATGTTTTTTAGTATCTTCTACTTTATCATGACACTTGTTTTCATCTACATGAGACAATTGCTTTTTGGAATTATTTACATCCTCGGTAGACTCCTGCGACTTATTTGCAACATTCGACACACTAGTGTCACTATCTCTATTTGATTTTTCTAACGAACTTTGCTTCGTAAAATCGATATTAGATACATAATTATGCTTGATTGGCGTGGTGTCAGCACGTTGCTCAGAAATCACTGCTTCCGCACAACTGGCAGAATTAATTGCTTGATATGACTCTGTTAAAGTATCCGATTTTGTGTGCTGAGAAGTCGATTCTTCCGCTTTACATTCTAATTTATTTGATGCTTCTGTGTCCTCTGCTACAAATTGCTTATTTTCCCACTCCACTTTAGGCTGCGCAATGTTCCATTTTTTTCGTTGTGATATTGCAGTGGTAGGTGTAGGAGTATAATTTTCATCGGTCAATTCCGTATGCATGTGAGCGAGCAAAATAGGGCTAGGTGTGTCCAGGATGTAAGAACCTTGACGGGATAACTTAGGCAGACTTTCATTTTCCTTGGAAACCGTTGTGACTTCTTCTTGATCACTTAATGTTATCGGAACTATGTCCAGTGTCCTGGGCACTTCAGGTTTCCAATTTTCTGACGATACTGCGTTTTTATTTGATGCTACTTCTATGGCGCTAACATTTTGATCAGTGCTTGGAGTTGTAGGTTTTGATTCATCGACAGTTTTATTTGCTAAAAGAACTTGAGACTGTGATTGTTGTATGTCTGACGTGGGGGTTTCGATATCATGCTCTTCTGCTGGCTCTCCAGTGTTCTGCCTTATTGTTGTTGGTTCAACAATAGTCAACTTGGAATATGTATCACTATTATTGGTGTCACTTGTAGTATTATAATTGGATAAATCACTGTCGGAACTGTACCTGATACTTTTCAATGTGTCTGTGGATTCCATCATGTCAGCTTGTACGCATTTATCCCTAATAGAGCCTTTCACTTGTCTATCTTTCAACTTTTCTTCTACTTTAACTGCCAGAGATTTATAACGTTTCATTTCTTCTTTAACGCTATCAGTCATCTGAAAATAGTACAATATCAATTAAAACAATTTCTTATAATAAAGCTGCAGAAACGTATTAGTTAACGGATATTTACTAGTGGAGGAAGAAGAGGCATCCCGTTTATTTTGATACACGAAGTATAAAATTCCTGCTGCATATTTTATTTTAATCTTAAGAATGCACTTTGCTTCAATCTATCAATTATTCCCACACGCGACGGATCTAATTATCACTGAACCGTTTCTCACTTTCCACAGCTCTCAACTTTTCAAATATCTCTTCGCACGTAAAGCTTCCCACTTATCACTTCTCTTATCATTTAAATGCTCAGTAGCATCACTAAGGAAATTAAATCCATGGGTTATAACATACATAGAGCGGAAAGTTTCATGGAAGAGTTATAAAATTCTTTAGGTTAGATTCATATGAACTTGCATAAAGAAATTAACCAATCGTATGTCTAATGTGATTTTGCATTAGCACATGATTGGTCAGTAGGTCAAGCGTTTAGAACGCTTTCTCACAGCATGAATGTTTTTGACAATAATGTATCGCAACTAGATATTTATGATTTATGATTGTTTATGTTTTGACCGGTTTGAAAGGAATGAGTGATAGAATTTACATTAAAAGTGCGACAGAACATAAAATTGAAAATGATTCCTGTAATTTGAATATTTTATATAATACTATTAATACAACTGTTGAAATTAGCTTTCAGTTTTATTACTAAAATTACGCTTTACTTGTTTAACCTTCTTTATTTTATTTGTTTATTTTGATATGAGAATTTTTATATTATGCTTTCAGGCATGCGACACTTTGAGGATTCTTCATTTACCTCCACATCTTTCTAACGAGCAACGAGATGCGTTATTACAAAAATATGGTGCAATAAAAACAAGAACAACACGATCGTCGAGCAAGTACACTACCACCTTTGCCAAGTTTCCATCTCAACAATTGGCAGCGGAAGCACTGTTGCGTTTACATCAGTTAAATGTTAAAGGACAGTATCTGTCAGTTGAATATGCCAGAAAGTCCACACTTACCGAAGTTTTGGAACAGAATGTTGAACAGGAAGCACCAAGGAGCAATGACACAAAAACGGAAACCACAAATAAATCTCATGTTCAAGCATTTCTGCGGAAGTTGAACAATTGGACTATGAATTATGATTTCAGCCAACCTCCTCCACCAAATATAAAATATAAATATACAGCGCCGACAAGAAGTACATTAATAAGGATAGCCATACAAATGTTAAAAGAACCAGCTTTCTACACACAAGTAAGTCACCAAGTTTTTACCTGAAAATGTTATTTTAATGAACAATACAATCTTAATAACGTTACAGCCATTACATCTATTCATAGGTATTGCATTTAATGAATAAGATGAACTTACCTCCTCCCTTTGAAGAATTGGAAATGGAATTTCCCATGCTGAAGGAAATATACGATATGGAGAAATATAAAGATATCTTTGGTTACGAATTTGTAAATAATGGTAATGCATTACATAGTAAAAAATCGCTCATACATTATGTTTAAAAATAGGCATATAACATAGCATGTTTTGTTTTAGATGCATTATATGCAAACGAAGGAGAAACAGAGGAAGAAGAATCTGAATTAGAATCAGATGAAGAGGACGTCAGACCTTTAGAAATTATCCCCGTTAAACGAAAACGACCGCAATCTACGAAACGTATGAAGATTCCGAAATTTGTAAATCCTGCCAAAAATGTCACAGCTTCTTCGTCCACGCAAAAAGTGCTCAAACCAGAAGATATGTTCGAATCTGTTCGACGTGGAGAGACCAAAAATCTTAAAATCGAACTGAAGACTTTAGAGTCGTTAGACGCATCTGCGAATCAAGATAGCAACGTGACGGTGGATGGTGGATTCGGTTTGATATTCCCGACCAATAAAGCCACCGAAGACGCGAAGGATAATAAAGAGGCGCAAAAAAATAAATTTATAACTTCCGAGGAATTGGCAGCTAACAGAATCTCGGCTAATGATCAAAGAGTGCTTCCTGTGTTCAAGAATTATCATCCAGGCAAACCATCCAATCGTCTTTACATAAAGAATCTTACCAAACAAGTGGAAATAGATGATTTGCATTATATTTATCAGAGATACGTTATTGCGGGATTGAAAGACGCTGAGTACGAGTAAGTATTTCGTTGATGTAGCTTTTGATATTTTATTTTCAATTGGTATCTCGTATTATTGTCTGCATTTCAGATATGATGTACGACTTATGCAAGAAGGCAGAATGAAAGGGCAGGCTTTTATCACACTACAAAATACTGTACAGGCTCAGATGGCACTCGACGAAACACATGGATTCATATTAAAAGATAAGCCCATGGTTGTACAATTTGGCAAAGCTCTTAAAAGTTAACACAGATTACGTCTGCTTTAACAGAATATTAATATATATTTTATGACAGTGCTGTAATTAAATTGTTCATGATAGAAATTTTTATGCAGACTGAAAGATTCTTATCACTGAACGAAAACAGTTTTGAAAATAGTCAAGTAAAACATAAATATTGCAGTTAGACTCAAAATTGTTATATATTAGCGTACTTTTATTCACAACAATTAACAATTAAAGATACCTAATTTATTTGCGCAATTTTATTTGGATGCGCGAGAAGCATCCATGTAATGAATTATCGGTGAAGATTTAACTGTAGATGTTAGCCGTTGCTTTTCAGAAGTTTATAATGCGATTTATCTATGCTAATAAAGCGTCCAGCGCTTTTGTGACCTCAGTGAATATTTCATCTACCGTCCCTTCCGCATTAATCTGAAACGGAATGATTAATTTTTCATAAGTTGACATAAAAAATGCGATGTACAAATAAATAAAATATTGAATATCTAAACTCACTCTAACAACTTTGTCCTTGTAGTGCTCAACGATCTCGTTGTTCTTCGAATTAAAGATCTCGATTCTCTTCTTGATCGTCTCCTCGTTGTCGTCCGCCCTTTGGGACACGGCGGCACGCCCGAGGAGCCTCTTCTTCAGGGTCTCGTTTGCTACGTCGAAGAAGAGGATTAGGTCGACGGGACAAACCTGTGCAACACATGTCGATGGTTAAAAATAAAAAGGAACAAGAAAAGCGGATAACGAATAGGGAAAGGACGGATTCTTACATTTTGCTCAAAGAGAATGCCCTGATCCTTTTCACGAGGATATCCATCGATGAGGAACCCGGTCTTCGTGACTCCTTCTTCGCGGGCTTTATCCATCTTTTCCTTTATGAGCGCCAGCACGACGTCCTAGCGAAACCACATGATCTTCACACTGAGGAAACGCGGTGCGTTCGCGTAAGATGCGCGACATATCATAATCTTTTGTATTTATCTTCAGTTTTGCTACGCGCGCTAAATTTTTTATTCGAGGCAAATTTGACAGATGCAATTCGTGAGTGATTCAAGCGGTCGCGCCAATTAACGAAACTTCAAAATATCGACATACCGTCGGCACGAATAATCCTTTGGACATTAGATCCTGGAGCGACGCACCCCTCTCGCTGCCACTGGCGACTTCCGCTCGCAACAAATCGCCGCTGCTCAAGTGGAGGAATCCATACTTCTCGATCATGCGGTCGCATTGCGTTCCCTTGCCGCATCCCGGTCCGCCGATCACCCAGATTGTTTTCATCATTTCCGCGTAGCTCTCCTCTTAACGATGTTAGCTGAATTTATAAGTGACGATCGTTTAAATTTTTTTTAAATATCGGGAAAAACTTTTTAGAAGCTTTCTATTGAAAAAAAAAGTGTTTTGCTCGTCACTTAAAATACACGCATATTTTAAATATTGAATTGATGTTTGGTTTTCGGATTTTTGACAAATCAAAGAATTTCTATATAAAAAATTTACAAATGTTTTGCATAAATGTGAAATTTCGAAGGATTTTTATGTGCTAAATAATTTTGAACATTTGCATCTTCCGGAACGGAGAAGAATTTATAAATCACTTCTTTCAGCTCGGCTAATTAAAGAGGCGCCGCAAGTGTACATACGTAAGCCGGGGAGAAAGTTTCAAGAGGAATTTGAGCGAACAACACTGACGCGAATCGAATACGCCGAATAAATCGGGGAAGACCGAGTGAAATTTCAAACGCATCGATTCTACACTCGCTCGCCGTTAACAATGAGCTTGACGCTTGCGCCTTCGGAAAAGCTCATCGACGTTCGAGGTCTCGTTACCTTGAACTTTCGCCAAGTATCTCACTAATGGCAACCATGCAAAAGTTCAATCAGTTACGCATCGACAACAGACAACCCTCGTCGCGACTTGTTAAATTTTAGGCGGGGACTTCGATCTAAAGGCTATTAAACTTTGTTTTACATTTAAATAGAGAAAGAGGCAATAGATTAAATATTGTTAATTTTAACAAATTACGGGAAGCTCTTAACATAGCGATTTTCACCAACGTCGATGAGAACTGAAGTTACGATCATATTACTCTAATTAATTCAGGGATATGAAAAAGAAATTAAAATAGCGTTAAAGTTAATTGATGAAAGTCTTTGAACCTTGGCAAACTTGCTCGTATATCGATCGACTTCGTCGCAATGTAAGGCTCAACGCGAAAACGTTCTAAGCGCGGTACGCAAAAGCGCGGAAACGACTAAAATACATCCGGCCCGATCTTCTCGCTCCCCGGGATTACGTGATGACAGGCGGCGCGAATTATATAATATTGCACAATAATATTAGCCAGATATTCTGTATGGAACGTTTCAATGGACAAAAATAAACCCACAGCAAATGTGGAATCCAAAATTGTATCGCATATTATGTCGGAGTACAATTCAAGGTAAAATGTCTAGTAGGACAAAAATAATCACTAAAAATAAAATTTTTCCTATGAAAATATTTTTTTTGTATATAAAATGAAGATTCAAATTTACTTAACGAAATTAAACTCAAAACAATTATTATTAATTAAAAATGTTAATTAAAATTGTTAATTAAAATTATTAAGGATCAACCTAAATTATCATGCGTGATACAGCTTCATTATTCATGCCAACTCATTGTACTAATTGTTATGTAATTAAATATATGTAGCAATTTTTATTTCTTTTATATGCAAACTTAATTTGCTGATTTTTTTTTAATGGTACATTTTTAGAGGGGAAAAATTTTATATTTTTAAATATTAACAACTGTGTTTTGCTAATATATGGTAGAATTGGGACGTGTTCAGCTAACCGGAACAGTGGTGAATCATATTTTATGCGACTGGAACGAACAAATTTACATCTAACGTTTCTAAATTGTCTAAAGCAAATAAAAACTATAAATTAATAATCATAATTAAAACAAGCAGAACTAGAAAAATCAGTCAAATTATCTTAAATGAGAAACCACAAGCTGAATCGTTAAATTAATCGAACACTATAATTTTATTTCAACTGAATTCGACAGTAGAATTAGCGAAGAGTTATTTACCCAAATAACTTCCTTCCGACCGTAACTCGTCTGCGTTATTCCACCGCAACGGAATCAATGACGTACATCCCTAACCCGATAATCTATGTGCGTAGTAAAATCAACCACTTGACATAAGCATTCTTGAAAGGGTAATTGCCCGTCATGTGTTTATCGAGTACCTTCGGCAAACACACTTCGTCAAGGATACTCCTTATGTCATAAACAAGTCACGATGCATTCACGTGCAATCGTTGCATCCTTCCCCATCAACAACCATAGGCTTACTTCACACGATGCATGAAGAACACTTGGTGTCACTACGTATCGACGATCTGATTGGCTGGCGAATAGAAGTATGCCAAATATGACGCTGACGAATTTTACACTACACGCAAATCTTATAGCGTTTTCGATTATACAGGATTTGAACGACCCGTAATAA